TCTCCAGCATCGGCAGTTCCTACTATCTCTAATATTGTAACAATGCTGGTTGTTTGCACCTCCCCTGTTGTTGTATGCTATAGGTTAAGGTGTTTACCAGCCTCTCTTCCCACCTCCTGTTCAAGCCATGCTCAGTAACTAGGAAAAATCAAAGCTGTTCCCTCTTTCTCCTCCCGGGTAGTGGAGGCTTCAATACTGCATTCTGAAAATGGTGATGTCCTTGGCATACATTCAAATTAGTGTATTTTTTCTTTGTTATATCTTGGCTCCAGGAGCCAATGTGTAATTATAAACTTGGCATGCTGTTTTCCATGTTCAGTCATCAGACTTTGCTCCACCCCAACTCAGATGCAGAAGTCAATAGTAGTACCATCATTCCTGCCTGGTTAACTGGTGACACTCGATGTATCAGGGTCAAAACCCAGACGGTCCTCAAAATGGCTCTGTATCGGGCCACATTGTATGCATTTATTATCTAAGCCATTGGTTAGATAAGGAACTTACTTCCCATGGTTTTTAAGAGGGATAATAAACATGCCCGTGGTTTGCTTGAGTAATGGTTTCTCAACCTTATAAATGAGTGCTTTAATGTAAACTGTGTACACTTTATCCATTAGAAAGAAAAGTTAACTAGAATTAATTCTTTACAATCAGCCGTCCAGAAACGTCTTTCCTGTGGTTCACCAGTCCTTGCAAGACGATGAAATACATCATCTGGCGCCGATTCAAATGGATCTTTCTTGGGATCATAATACTGCTGTTTGTAGTTCTGTTCCTTGGGATCTTCTTTTATTCATTGCCGGTAAGTACATAGCATGGGTTTTAATAATGCTGTTATCAGAGTGAGTACACAACACCATGGGTGCTTTTGGGGAATGAAATAAGCTGAGACATTGGTAATGTTCTATTTTTCTGTAACTTTACATCACTGACTTAACACTTGTAGCTCTTTTTGGCTCAGTTGCTTGAAATGCTGTTGTGTTGGCCACTTTCAGTACAGAGTTTGGAGGCACAGTAAAATTCTTAATGGCTTCTCTTGGTATCTGTTACCGAGTTCAGGATTTTGTCTAAATGTGGAAGATGGTTCTTGAAGGTAGCTGTGCAGTAGAAGATGATCTTAAGTGGCATTTTGATTTGAAGAAAATGCAAACACTAATTTAATCACCAAATTATTTTTATTAATTAAATAAGAGCTTTCATACTTCAACATTAATCCTATTTAATTTCCTTTCCTCATAAACTGTTCAGTGTGCAGGCTTGCACAAAATTAAGTTACCCCAATAAGCTATCTACCTGTTAACCTTTTCTAAAGCTTTCTAATTTTGTTCACTTCCCCTCATGCTGTTAAAGTTTTTTTTTTTGTGCACTAAAAGTTGGTCAAAAATAGCAGTGGAGTTCCACAAACAAGCCTAATTTTTGTAATGCAATTGTACTTTTACTCCCTCCCTCACTGTTAGTTACCATCCTGTTTTTGTCTGCTGACCTTTTTAATGAAGGTGAGTTTCTCAGCCCTCTGTTGACTAATAGGTAGTCTACTTTGTGAGACAGGATATGTCTCCTTGAGATCTATTTTATGATCCAGCCATTAAAATAGAGACCTGCAGTTGCAGGTTAACAGAGGCTTGAGACTGCAATTAGAGTTTGGAACTTCAGAATGAGAATCCAGGGCTTTACTACAATTGTTAAATGATGTTTAGAGTGGTGTTGAAGCTTTTTGCAAATTTGTTTTAAAACAAATGTAACTTTTGTACGGGTGCAATAGTGTACACATTGTGTACACATTGTGTACTGTCATCGCTGGGATAAGCTGAATATATTTAACTGATTTGTAAATTAGATTCTTTTTCTCATAACCTATTCACGTGCCACCAGCAATACAAGAGTTAATGTCAGTAGGCAAGTTTCACATTATCTTAGCATTTTCAATTAAATACACCAAATTGCCAATGGCATGTGGTATAAAGTATAGCTACAATAATGTTGGACGAGCTGCAATTACATTGATTTACTCTGGACTATGTTCAGTTCATTGGGTATAAAAAAAGAGATTGGAGTTTAAGAATTTCACTGGTGTAATAAATTCTGTATATTGCTACCATGTTAGAGCAACTAGGCTGTTAATTTAAAATTAAATAAAACCCTTCTGTCTTCCACGTTGATGGAAGACAAAAGATTATGGGAAAGTTCTTTTTGAGGTGATAGGAGGAAAAGTTCAGCAGCATCCATCATGGCCTCCAGGCCTGCTGGGATAGGAGGGAGGGACATAAAGGTGTCAACACCAGAGTTGGCTCAGTAGTAAATCACAGTTAGTGGAGCTAGCACAGGAATGGCAAACCAAAGCAGCTGTTCGTTGTGCAGTGTTGGATCTCTCAATATTGTGTTAAGACAAGTTCCCTTCTCATGACCTTGCTTTCCAATGCTGTTTTTACACTGCCATCATCTCCCTCCTTAGCCTCGTGACCTTAACATGGCTGGCTTTTTTTGAAGTTGCTGATTAAAGCTGAAAAATTTTAAGGACCGCCGAGTCTGGAGGCTCTAACCATTCTAATATCACGGGCTAGATTTTTCGACAGCTGTTTGATCTTTACTTCATATGCCTATGATGAGGTGCTCTGGCCATTTATTTTTCCATGATTAAGATTAAATTTTCTGTGCTTCCTAGCAAGACAGTAACTGCAGCTGTTAGTGTATCTGATTCTTTTCATTCTTAAAACTAAAAGCAGAAATCCTTTTTCCTTATTAAAGATTTGGCTACTTGAAAGCTGAAGTTTTATGTTAGCATCCATGAAATTCTGATTTGTGTTTCAAACCAATTCAGTTCAAATGAAGTTTATAAACTTAATGTCCTTTGGCTTTGATCTGCTGCGCATCGAGTAGCGGACTAAAATTTAAACAGTGTTTTTGCTTTTTTCCCCTCTTGTGTTTAAGATTTCTTTCCCTTTTTTAAGTTGAGTCAATGGTGGGAAGGAAAACAATTAGATGAAGGTGTTTAGTGGAAATGTTTCAGGCAGTGGAGCCCCATGGCTATGAGTTTACGTGTTCACGTCTGATGCCAGCCATTTGAAGCTGGCAAGAAATTGGCAAATGTGTCAACACCCAGAGATTGAGGAGAAATTAGAGGGAGGATTATCTTGCATGTTGTTTATGCAGGCCACAAAGTAAGTCTCCGACTAACCTGGCTTCAGCTTATGTGGTATGTTAAGTTGGTGGTGGTGGAAGTAAGGTAATACTTGCTCCTAACTAGTACTCATCCAAGTGAGTGTTGCATTATTAATTTCCCAATGCAATCTTGTATCTTCTTTTTATTTAAATGTACATTTCCAGAATGCAATTTTAACTAATTTAGGATGGTCGTAGAGATGTACAGCATGGAAACAGACTCTTCATTCCACTTGTCCATGCTGACCAGATATCCTATATAAATCTAGTCCCATTTGGCCCGTATCCCTCTAAACCCTTCCTATTCACGTACCCATTAAATATAATTTGTACCAGCCTCCTCCACTTCCTCTGGCAGTTCATTCTATACACGCACCACCCTCTCTGGAAAAAGCTGCCCATGAGGTCCCTTTTTTTTTTTTAAAAAACCTTTATCCCCTCACTTTAAACCTATGGCCTCTAGTTTTAAATTCCTCTACCCTAGGAAACAGACCTTGACTATTTACCCTGTCCATGCCCTTCATGATTTTATAAACCTCTGTAAGGTCACCCTTCAGCCTCTGGGGCTATTTTTCCTGGAGCATCAGCCTTCAAACCCTCCAACCCCGGCAACATCCTTAAATCTTTTCTGAGCCCTTTCAAGTTTCACAGCATCTCTCCTACACCAGGGAGACCAGGATTGAATACAGTACAGGTAATTCTGCTATAACACCATTGAAGTTCTGTTCTCTATGAAGCATGGATTTCAGTAATGCTAGAATACAACCCACTTTTCACTTGCCTTCCTTACTTAAAATCAGAACTGCTGCTTCATGTCTCGATCTGAATTCAGGGCCATCTGTCATAGCAGCAGCAGCATCAGATCTGTTATTGGGGCAAGCAGTCATAATATCCTGCCTTTCTTTAAGTTGCAGCACATGAGCAGATGAATTAACAAGGCATTGATAAATTAAAACAATAGCAATTCATCAATGCCCTACTTTTCTGGTCAATTCCAATGCTAAATTGTCCCCACTCTTAAGCTAAACATCAATTTTTCTACAAGACATGAACCGCATGGTTTTTTTTTGGTATATTTGGTGAATTTTAAAAACACGCAAGCTAAGTGACATGGCATAATTCAATTTTTTCTGTGGTAACATACGATTTACATTCTGGCTTGCCAAAAGACCAAGTTTGCTCTCTCCTCTTCGCAGAAGGGGAGGCACTTCCACAGCACGAAAGAGCACCATCTGGTGGGGTAACTAAGAATAGTGCTGCCTATAGTCAAGTAGGTCAGTCCTTGTGCATGGAAGGCTCTGTGACTGGGAACAGAAGAAAAATGCCTAAAAATGAAGTTGATGAGTTCTTATTTTCTTGTCAACTTTCATCTTCTCTTCCTCTAAGTTTGTAAGCGAACAAGTGTTGTACCCAAGCACGCTTTATCAAATACAAGGGCAAATTGAAGAATAGTTACCACAAAGTTGGTTAAATCCTGTGTTCCTGCTTCATCTAAATGTTAGACAGTCCAGGCTATATCTCACCGCAGTGGTTAGCACTCCAGCCTCTCAGCACCAGGAACCCATGTTTAATTCTAGCCTCAGACAATTCTGTGTGGAGTTTGCAGAGTGTGCCATTGTCTACATGCGTCTCCACTGGGTGCTTCGGTTTCCACCCACGATCCAAAAAATGTGTAGTTTGGTCGGATTGGCCATGCTAAATTGTCCCGTAGTGTCCAGGGACATGCGAGCTAGGTGGGTTAGCCATGGGAAATGTGGGGCTGTGTAATGAGGGTAGGGGACCTGGGTCTGGGTGGGATGCTGTTCAAAGTGTTGGTGCAGACTTGATGGGCCAAATGGCCTCTTTCTGCAGTGTAGAGATTCTATTCCCAAAGAAATGGGGAGGAAACTTAGTCTATTCTCTCTAAATTTAAGAAAATGGTTTTTATTTAGATTGATCATGTGATAAGTGTGGTTATAAGTGTAGTCTGAGCACAGTGCAATAACTTAGAGCAAAAAATTTCAACAAAATGGAGCTGTACTTTTTTTGAAAGAAGTGCTTCAGATGTAAAGCATTTGCAAATTAGACTATTAATAAATATTCCTGAGTAGGCAGATCAGTGCGTGTCCACCTGGCACTGTCCTCAGAAGAGGGGATGAGTCTTAGTGGGGTTGAGGGCAGTTCATCTGTAATGTGGGTTAGTCTCCAACTCTTGAGTGGTATGGCCAAGTGAATACTGACTCCTCCATGTCCCATACCCCTCTGTTTTGGAGACTTTAACTGTAAGTACTGCAGTCAAGTTTAATGTTAAATGTTCTGTTCAAGCCAATGTTGCCTGTGAACCTGAGAGCTGTCTGTCGAATAGCTCCCCAAAGATTTAAATTGGCTGTCATCTCTTTGAACTGAGGTAAACTTACTATGTACGTAAACCCAAAGAACTGTAAAATTACCATCTATAGCCAAAATAATCAGGTAAGTGCTCTGATGTCTGTCATTACATTTTACAAATACACTCAGTAGTGAAAGAAAAGAACAAATTGTGGTGATTCCTAAAGAAAAGCCACCTTCTGAATGTGAAGTTTTGCTATCAAGATGAAAGGTCAAACTGATCTCTCGGCCCAACTTGATCTGCACCATCCATGTAATCCACCTATTGGATTATCC